ACAAATATTGTAATTAACTTAATTCCGATGTGTTAATTAATTTTAAACATTACCAGGCGTTATTTATGATAAGGCAACAGTTAACGTGTTAATAAAGTTACCATTCTGTTACTAACCCAACGGCGAGCGCGAATATGTATGAAGTATACTTAATATATTATTAGTATTTTGTGAAAAAAATCTTTTCTCCTATGGTTGCGTATGCATTAAAAATACTGGAATTCTGTACGGTTACATCTGTTGCTCAGACTAGCATTCATAACTGGATTATGATACGGATGTGACTTTTCCACTTTTTAACATTATACATGTAAAATTTATATTTTTCATTATTAGTGTGTTTATTATAAGATCATGGTGACTGGCATTTAGACTACAGACAAAGATTTCGCAGATTTGTACATATATATTTTAAATACACAAATATTTTTATTTTTATAATAATTAGTTTACAGATTTAAGTAAGTATTTTATTACTATTTGAAATACATCACTGCCGCATGTACGGAGTATACGGTGCGCTTGCTCATAGTACGAAAAAAAAGCGCGCTCGTCGGAAGGTTATTGAAAGACTATATTACTTATATATAAAAGTAGTTTTGAAAAATATCGGTGCATTATTTAATAGAATAAATAATATATTTACTATGTACAAATTGAACTAAAATCATATACAGAAATATTCCAATTGTTACTTTTTCTTGCAAATTCATTATTATATATAATGTTAATGTTTCATGTCAAATTAGAAGACTATATTAAATTAACTACAGCCGAAAGAAATTGGCGAAGTTTGTAAATCCTGTAAATCGACCAATACAGCTGTTTGTGTCTCAGAAAATTTTGGAATGCAAATTAATCTTATTGTCTGTCCTTGATTTGCTGTGAATAAATATTCTACTTCACCTTTTTCATTATTACAATGTAAAAATAAAGATCATTTAAAAATATTCTTACCTGTTAATAATTTGGTGTCGTATTTGTCCATATTACCAGCAAAATAAATATCAGGACATTCTGTCATAATAAATGGATCAGTACTACAAAATGGATAAGCTGGCACGGTGTCTGGTGCAGTTGGTGCATAATGTCTCCAATCTAATGTTTGTTCTAGCCATGTTAATGGTGACGCATTGACAAGTCCAGCAACTTTCATGATATCTAAAATGGGTTGACCACTGGACCCAGCTACGATACGAGAGTTAACGCTACCAATCCAAGGATTCGTAGCTCCGTAGAAACTCTTAAATCTGTATTATGTAAATGTAAAGAATACTTTACCGTGATAGAAAGTAAACATATAATAATACCTGGAGCTTTGAGATAATATGCAAGGATGAAGCGATTGTTGAGGCAATGTGTGACAAGTCGGATCAAATTCGCCAGGCATTAATACCATAGAACAACATTGTACTATAGGAAGAAGAAAATTGTCCAATTTGTGTGCTGATATTGTAGTCTGTTTGTAGTTAGTTTCATGTGTTTTGGTTTCAAAATATCCTTCATGACTATAGGTTTCTATAGATCCTCTTATACTATTTCCTAAAATAAATTCAATTTATACATGTTAATTCTTGTAAAATGATTAATCGAGTTTCCTTCAATATAAAAAGAGAGATATAAGAATCCAATTGAATGAAAGATGTTCTGTTACAGGGGAAAATCATTTTATGTATATCATTTTATGTAACCTGCTCTACGACTCTATTTGCTCACAAAGTGGCAACATCAAAGGTATTGAAATGTTCTACTCTGCAACTGTCCACAAGCTTCAGTGTGAATGCAACATGTAATACGAACAGTCAATGTGAACCAGTGTTCACAGAGAAATAAGTTACGCGAAAGAGTGAGATAAATGACGCATGCGCAGGGATTCCCGCACAGCAGCGTGGCGTGTCTACCGCGTGAACATTATAATTCTGAACTACAATCGCGACGTAACGTAGTCTTCTGACTGATCTTCTGCTGTTCCTCGACTCTTGGCGCATGCGTCACCTACCCCACTCCTTGCGTAACTTATTTTCCTGTGAACACTGGTGTGGACTCTGTATCATAATGTATATTTATACCTGCTATAATAATACACACTATGGATGCCACTTCTGTTTGAATCACTGAGCTGCCAATCATTCCAGTTACCCATTCAGAGAACAGGTTTAAATTTAATGGTTGTGTATTATTTACCAGATCTAAACCTGATATTATTAAGATCTTTCCCAGTTGTTCCAATGGTTTAATGCTCTTAGCCAGGTTTGAAGTATATCCTGGATAACACCAGTCTATCACCTACAATTAATATAGTTTATATAATGCAAATAGTGTAAATTACAATACAGATTATTACAGTAGTAATATGTATATAGTAACATTAACATTCGTATTTGTTACGTTATATGTTAAGATATGATTTAAATATGCTGCTTATTTTATGTTAATGTGATCCATTCATTATAGTTGAAGAATATACAAACTATTTCTTTATAACCATAATACTTAAATTTACAACAGATCTTAAATAACAAACTGTTGCATTTCATGTCATATTAATATTCTGACACTCTTCCTATAAGTTATTTGTAACATTGTAAAATTGATATTTACATCAAATTCACCATTTTCTAATTGATGTCCAAATACAGCACAAACAATACCAGTAACCACACTCTGAATATTCATGTGATTTCCAACCAATTTAACACGTAAAGCATCATCTTCCAAAAATAATATATCTTTAAATGATGCATAGTTTGTTCTTGATAAATGAGTCGGTAATTGAAGTTCTTTGGTAAGCTCATGCAGTATCGATGGTTTCAGTTCTTGATGTTTATATAATGTTCCTATTACAATGTAATTATTATCTTCGCTTTTCTCGACTAATTCTGATAAGATAACCACCTCGCATTCGGCTACAATAAAGTATTCATTAAAAATCTAACCTAAAATGATAATGTGTGCAATAGATGGAAGATTTTTTTACCCCATTTAGCCTTTGCCTTTTGTAGAAGATGATCCTTTAGTGCCGCTAACCTTGCATTATATATACGATGATACTGCACATTAAAATTTTTTGAACAGATTTTAAATTGTTCAAAATCTTTGAATTTGCACGATCTACGGCGATAGGCAGACGGTGAGCGAATTTCCATTATACATACATATGTTATGTACTAAATAGAGCATGTAGAATGTATTTATTAGTGTGCCTTTAAGTAAATAACGTATGTGCAAACTGAAGTAATATTGCCTTTTCAA